GGAAAACAAGGCTGATATCTCCTGTAGCAAGTGATTACCGTTAACCGTCACGCGAAACACTTCCACATGCCTCGAGGCGCAATTTTTTCACAGTGTTTTGCGGAGGCCCCTTGGAAAGCCAACAAATACTGAATAAACAGCCAACATCCACAAGTTAAAATATGCTTACTGAGCACAACGACCGGTGGCGCCGTAATTAGTGCGTCGCGGCCGGATTTGAAGAAGAGGAATTAAATTCCCTCGCCGGTCACACTTATCTAAATCACTGGCGAATCGTACCAAGCGAGCCCGTGTGAACATGCGTTTTTGCAGTATTTCGTACTGTTTTAAGATTGCTGGGAGTCAAAACAGCTAGAAATTATGGCATACGGGTCCTCGAATTTCAGGAAATTAATGCCGCAACTGCATGGTACTTGCTCAGGGAACATCCCTCATAATTCCAGCTTTCTTTCCTGACTCCCGAGTCAGCCATTTTTCCGCTAGAAACTTTCATGGGGCCGTACGTGAGAGCCACGCATAAGTCGGGGCTGAAATTGAAATGTTTAAGCTGTACGTGAGCCGCGAATATCCCCTTAAAATATCAGCCTCCCAACTCTCCTATTTTCCGAGCAAGCGACTTTCCAGCCAAAAAATTCTATGGGACCGTACGTGAGAACCATGCATACCCACCAGATAGATTTGAAATCTTTGAGTTCTATGTGGACGTGGAACATAACCGCAAAATTTCAGCTTTCTTGCTTTTCTGATCCTCGAGTTAGCGACTTTTTCGCCAAGACCTCCACGCGGTCGTACACGGGGCCAAAACGTACATGAAGGTTGGTACCGCAGTCCTGGGCTGGCAGTTGGCCGGAGAACCCACTGGCAAAATTTTGACTGCCGAGTTGAAATACCCGGACAGAAAACACACACACAAACACAGACACAAATACACACACAAACAGACACAAATACACACACAAACACAGACACAAATACACACACAAACGTACACACACATGCACACTAGGTTTGCCACAATATGCGTTTTTGCATTTGCATACATGCAACCTAGCAGAAAGCATACCGACTGCCGGTACGAGGATGCGTTTTTTGCACAGTTCCCCCCGCAGATTTTTTTCGCCAGTGGTACGTTCTTCCTGGCAGATACTTCTAGCTAAAAGACCCAGCACGACTGTTAGAAATTATTACAATGACTCCCAATCTATACCCAGAAGATCCAGTGCTCTGGATGCCTCGGTTGCAGAGTTACGTCAAATTTCACGTGTTCGTACGTGAGTGGCTATGAAATGCCTTCTTCGCCCGCAGTTGCTCAAACACGGTCATGGGTAGCGCTTAGAAAGTTTCAGACTCTAGCTGCTCCGATTGCAGAGTTACGTCAAATTTCACGTGTTCGTACGTGAGTGGCAACGTGATACTTTCGTCGCTCGCACCTGCTCAAACACGACCATGGGTAGCGCTCAGAAGGCTTCGGTACTCCTGCCGCCCTAGTTGTAGAATTAGATCGAATTTCACGTGTTTGTGCGTGAGTGGCTACGTGAATGATTTCTTCGCCTGCAATTGCACAAACACGGTCCTGGGTAGCGCTCAGAAAGTTTCGGCACTCCAGCTGCTCTGGTTGCAGAGTTACGTCAAATTTCACGTGTTTGCACGTGAGTGGAAAAGTGAATGCTTTCATCGCTCGCGCCTGCCCAAACACGGTTATGGGTAGCGCACAGAAAGTTTCGGCACCCCAGCTGCTCTGGTTGCGGAGTTACGTCAAATTTCACGTGTTCGTACGTGAGTGGCTACGAGAGTGCTTTCTTCGTTCACAGTTGCTCAGACACGGCCCTGGGTAAGGCTCAAAAAGTTTCAGCACTCCAGCTGCCCTGGTTGCAGAGTTACGTCAAGTTTCACGTGTTCGTACGTGGGTGGCAACGTGAATGCTTTCTTCGCCCGCAGTTGCTCAAAAACAGTTCTGGGTAAAGCTCGAAAAGTTTCAACACTCCAGCTGCTCTGATTGCAGAGCTACATCAAATTTCACGTGTGTCCACGTGAAACGTGCGTGACACGTGAAAGTGACATGTAAGTCGTTTTTGCGTGCACATGGTCAAAGGTTACCGTCGGCTGTGCTCAGAAAGTCCAGGTCCTCTGGCTGGTTCAATTCTGAAGTTACAAAAGCGCGTGCGCGATGTTTTCACATGTTCATACGTGAGATGGCAAGTAATTTACTTACACGGGTACAACAGTAGGCGACAAGTAACGCTGCAGAATTGTAGCTCTCTGCAGCTTACCGGTCAGCTTAAATCTGCAGTTAGCATGATGGCAGTTTAAACTTTGACGTGTGCGTACGTGAGACCTGAAGATGCGTGAAGGCTGAATTTATAATCTTTGCATTAGACGCTGCCAAGGAACATCTCAGTGAAGTTCAAGCCTTGGAAAACATGGGCCGTTCCCGGAAACGCTTTCCCGCCAAGGAAACTTTCACGTGCCCCCACGTGAGAACCACGTGGACCTGAGCGTCCGTTTTGAGGATACGAGCCGCACGTATGTATAGGTTAAGTCACCAAATTTTCAACCTTGTAGCTTTCGTGGGTCTCGAGACGAAAACTCGTTACAGACGAACACACAAACACACACACGCAGACAACCCCTCGACAATATGCATGTTTGCATTGCATAGCTGCAAAAAACGCATACTGTATAAAAAGTGCCTCATTCGTGAGATAATGAAATACGATAAGGCTCTGTTTTTTGACTAAGTGAGGCACCCATGCATCTTTGACTGAAGCATCCTTACATCACTGGCAGTGTAGATCTGGCAGCTGCTAAAAAGTACTGACGAAATGTGGCAGAGATCACTGCACTCTGTTAAAAGCCGTTTGCAGAGAGTTGCATTTGAAGAAACATAAACCGCCATTTTCATGGGCTTGTTTCTTCGCAGGGACATTGACAACCGCAAACTCTGCCTGATACGCAGAAGTTAATTTAAACGAGTCGCTAAGTCATAAAACTGTATCCTCAAAAAGGACTATCCTCAAAAGAAAAAAAAAAAATTCAACCTAAAAGCGACTGCAGCGATCTCCTCAAATACTTGCACTAACAGTCTCTCGGCATTTCATGTTGAGGTTTACGAAGTAACCCGTACTAAATAATGTAAAGCAACTCAAAGGATGTGAGCGAGTCAGGATGTGAAAGTGTAACATGAAATACATTCGTACCGGAGAGAGAAAACATGAGGCACGTAATGGACGCTCACGACAAAATTTTCGATTTTATTCACAAACCCTCTGAAAAATGAAAATCAACAATCAAATACACACTAAACTGCCAAAGGACCTCAATACAACGAGATAGTTCAGATCAAGCAAATGAAAGAAAGAGGTAACCTCTGGAGCCGGTTCATTCAAGAATCACTATGAGCGACCAGAGACTCTTTCTCTGCAAATTAAATGTGTCAGTGACGTACCTCAAAGTTCAAGAAAAATGGGCACACTGAGTTTGGCCCCTTTTTGCCACCACTCTTTTTTCAAATAATTTGATGTCTGAAATTAACCTTATCGGGTCCAGCATATTTAGATCCCAGCAAACTATGGGTTGCCGTTAACTAGGTGCACCACATTTTCCCACAGTGTTCCTCAGCACAAAAGATTTTGACCGACTGCACCCGAAGCGAAAATATGCCACCAGTTTTATGCTAATAATGCTTTGAGCGCATTGTAAAATAAGTGTAAAAGCCTTCTTACGTATATTAATATGCAAAAATTCCAGCTTGTAAATATCTACTGTGCTTTAGAAAAGAATCCTTAAATGTCGGTCATCCCAGGCCATATTCATCAGCACGCCGAATTTCTAGCTATATTGATGTATACAACATGACTCCGACTTTGCCGGGACCCGTCCAATAATTAATTTTCCACTTACGTGATTCACAGTCTTCATAACATCCAAAAGAGAGGATTTGCTGAAACAAGACTTGTTACAAGTAGGAACACATCTCTAATCCAACCACAATCGCTAAGGCAGTTTCAGCTAAATTTGCTTGACCTGCCGTCAGTCTAATAAGGAAGCCGAATATAGAAATGCGGGCTTGAGTTCTGAATTCCACGAAAGTTGTGGCAAAACCTGACAAAAGTGAGTTATCGAGGCAAATGTTCCCTCAGCTTCAAACATCAACTTAAGACACCCATTTAACTGAGCGTCGCGAACGATCAGTAGAGTCAAAATTACAAATCATCAGAAGAACCAGAGCGAAAAAATAAATTTAAGACTGCATTTCACATCAGAGTGATTAAACATGGAAAGATTTGATATGCATGGCATGGCAGAACTACACAAACTATGTCAAATTTAATATGTTATCCAGAAAGTGCACAACACCCGGGACAATACATCTGTCGAAAGGCATTGGTTAGAGCGCACATACACAAAACGCCTTCACAAAATATTTACAACGAATGAAGATGCTGATTGCTGTAACGACGGCGAAAAGAGTACAACAAAAAACGATCACAAATTTCAAAGCAAACCATTTTCCATCCCGAAACACACATATATGTTTCGGTACGAAATATATAACAGCTGCAAATGCAATGAAAATGAGAAGCAAATAACCTAACTGTTGTTAGGGAAACAATAATTTTCAACAAAAATGCCACGACAAAATTTCATCCTGGTAAACATGGAGGCAGGAAAAAAGTGAACGTACAAGGATAATGAAAAGCTTCTAGCTAAAGCAATGTGCGACTTGCACGTCCGAAAAAATAACAAACCAAAAAAAGCGCTAAATTACGATTTTTAGATCCTTTTCAAATCAGTGCCATATCACGTAATGCAAATTCTAATTCCACGTG